AAGAACCTATATCCTGTCTAGAAACGTTTGTTGTAGTTTCTTTTAAAAGCCATTAGCCAGCTGAAATAAGGTTCGGGTGCTAAACCAGGCAACAACTCAGTGGTGTAAATTATTGTGCCTAGGATGTGTTTCTAACTTAACTGTGCCTTACAGACTTCACCCAACCCGATTCCCATGTGTACCCAACTGGAGAGAATTAATAATGAAGGTTATCAAAAAGTCCTTTTAGCATCTTAATAGATGCTGACAATAGTGTAATGTGAAATCTCTTAAAATAAGCAAACCGAAGTGTATGCACCTGAAAGCACAGTCCTGATGTAATACAGCCCTGACCTCAGCCACTGAGCATCAGTCCAGTGAGTGAATTAATCTCTGAGAAAAGCTCATTTGGGTGAGAATAAGGGAAGGGACAATTTGGTTTTGACGCAAATTTTATTCAGAAATCTGAACATGGGGCCAGAGAGATGTCTCAGTGGTTAAGAGCATTGGATGCTCTTGCAGAGGACCTGGGTTCAGTTCCCAGCACCCACAGCCAGCTAACAACCATCCACAACTCTAGTTCCAGGGGATCCAATGCCCTCTTCTGACCTCCATGGGTATTGCACAACATGGTGCACCTTCCTACATGCAGGCAATACATTCATACAAAAAAATAAAAAAATCTGAACGTGACTGACAAATCTGTAACATGCTCTAGTGTCCTCAATGGTCTGAGGCTCTAAACAGTTATACACAGTACACAGAAACTGTAAGGTGAAGTCATTTATCTGTAGTTTCTGAAATACACTTGAAATCAGTCAAATTACTTCGTGTGTGTGTGTGTGTGTACACTTGGGTGTGCAGGCCTTCACAGCCACACACACAGAAGCCAGAGGACAAAGCGTCCTGCTCTATCGTGCTCCACCTTATTTCCCTGAGACCGGGTCTCACGCTGAGCCTGGAACTAGGCTGGCAATCAGCAAGCCCCAGCCATCCTACTATGTCTACTTCTCATTGCACTGGAGCTAGACACACTTAGCTTTTTAGGTGGGTTCTGGGTATTTGAACTCAAGTCTTCATGATTCTGCAGCAAATGTTCTTACCTTCATTACTTCTAAGCATAAATCATGTAGTTCCCATTATTGTTATTTTAGAGATAAATAATAGTCGTTACTAGGAGAACACATCAAGTTAGAGAGAGAGAGAGAGAGAGAGAGAGAGAGAGAGAGAGAGAGAGAGAGAGAGAGAGAGAGAGACAGAGAGAGAGATAGAGACAGAGAAAGAGAGAGACAGAGACAGAGACAGAGACAGAGACAGAGAAAGAGAGAGAGAGAGAGAGAGAGAGAGAGAGAGAGAGAGAGAGAAATCCAGAATAAGGGAGATTCTATGAGACGGCATGGATCAACATTAGAGGATGACATGAAATCAATCTAGGTTAACAAGAGTAAAGGGGAAGGTGGTATGCATTTCTGGATGGATCCAGGGTATAAGAACATATACATTTATATGAGAATTTGGAGAACAGCTAATGATAATATCTTAAGAATCACCACCTGGGTATGGTGATGCCAGTCTTGAATCCCAGCACTTGGGAGCCAGAGGCAGGTTAATATCTGTGACATCAAGGCCAGCCTGGGCTAAATAGCAAGTTCCAGGCCAGCTGGGGCTATACGGAGACCCTGTCTCAAAAAACAAAAACAAGGGGCTGGAGAGATAGCTCAGTGGTTAAGAGCACTGATTGCTCTTGCAGAGGATCTGGGTTCTATTCTCAGGACCCACATAGTGGCTAACAACTGTCCATAACTTTAGTTCCAGGGGATCCAACTCCCTATTCTGACCTCCATGGGCACTGCATGACACAGGTGCACTTACGTACATGCAAGCAAGATACTCATACACATAAAATAAAGATAACAACAACAACAAAAGAAACCAAAATAAAACAATTACAAAAAGGAATTACTGTTTCCTCACAGGAAGCACGAGGAAGTACTCAGGCTCATGGCCTATGTCTGTAGCTTGTTTCTCCATTCAATAAAGCAGGTGTGTGGATACACATATACCCATGTATATAAACATACATAAAGCAAAATGTACAACTCAGTGAACATAAATGAATATTTGCAACGTATTACTCTTTCAGTCTTTGATAATTGTAAGTGTCTTTCTGTTGGGTCTGAAAATTTTCTATGTAGAAAGTCGTTGGGAAAAGCACCACTTACAGTATGAGCCATGTAGTTTAACGGTCACAGTTTAGTAATTGCATCCCCCCCAAGATTTTGTTTAGGTAATATGTTATTTCTAATTCCTTTATTTAGGAAAATATGTATCTTCTCTATATTCTGTAATACTAAGAGGTATAAGTAATTACCAACTCAAAATAAAGATACTAAAGAAACACAATTTTAAAACTTAGCAAAATAATTTGAAAATGACAAATGACTAAAAAATTAGTTTTTGTTATTAACATTTAAAAGGTCTATAAAAGAAGCTGTAATTATTATAATACAATTGGTAACTAAAACAAGGAAATAGAAAAGTAAAATAATGGTTTTAATGTATATTAGGTGAAAATTTGGCCAATTATACCAATAAACTTCGTTTTAGAAAATAATTTCTACAGTTTTTGTAGCTGCACAGTTCATTATACCAGGCATTAATCATAAACTTAAGCTTTGGATAATGGATATCTTCAAGCTGACCAAAACCTATGAACTCTATGAAATCTCTATTAGAAATGGATGACACTGATCTATGGAACATTTAAATATGAACACAGTTTAGGAAAAATGTTCCTGAAGTGTTCAGAAAGGAGGGAGACTCTAGGCATGTATATAAGAATGTAGCTCCCAAGAAGGGAAGACGGGTCACAGGGAAGGAAGATTCCAAGAGACTGTGGAATCATATTAAGTCGTAGCACAAGGCACTCCTAGCAATTTGAGGGTACTGATATATTATCACATCCAACTGGCCATGGGGGTCTGTGCTATTTATACCACATAGAAATAGGACTTAATTTTTTCTCATTTAGTTGTCATATCTCAAACTATAAAAGAAACTGAGAAATAAAATTTGCTTTCCATATGCTTATGGATACTTCATTTTATCAATAATTCTATTTCTTCAAAATAAGGACAGCGGTCAATTAAGATTTCTTCAAAGTACAACTTGTACAGGTTTTAAAAATCATGTGTGATGGTAACTGATCCTATTTCTTCTCTTGTCATGTCATCTCCAAGACGACAAAGCCGGTGCTGCATCTTCACTGAACTTCTCCACCAGGTACTTTCATTAGGCACACTAATAGGATCTGTTTCAATGACCGGTGATTTATCTCTAAATAAGCCCCAGCGATCTGAAGGATAATGAAAAATACATACGTACTGTAGTGTATGTGCAGTTTCTTTTCTTTCATTTCACCATCGACTGACTCAGGTAAGCAGCACGCCAGAGAATACACCACTGATTTTATAGCATGAGGCCAGCAGAATTAAAGTGGGAATACAGCTGTAAACTGGAGCTCATTAAAAGGCAAAGAAACATATGACTTGGGGGAAAGTATTATCGGTTAGACTATAATGTTAAAATTGGAATGAAAAAGATCATAATCTGCTGGGCCTCGTGGTGCACACCTTTAATCCCAGCACTTGGGAGGCAGAGGCAGGCGGATCTCTGTGAGTTCAAGTTCAAGGCCAGCCTGGTCTACATAGTGAGTTCCAGGACAGCTGGGGCTACAGAGAGACCCTGTCTCAAAAAGACCAAAAAAAAGATCATAATCTATGTTTACAAAAGTTTTGTAGAACGTATTTTAAATGTGCCATTTGAATTAAAACTCTAAAATCATTATTTAAAGGTGATATATTCTAAACTCAAGTAAACATGAGAGTGAAACTTCAGTTGAAGATGATGCTTTAAATATGAGCCTGTGAAATTATTTACCCTGAAGATTACCTGCCAAAGATGAAGTCATTGTCCAAAAAGGAGACCGACAAGCTTCCTGATTATAAGTCTAAGAAACGCAAATCCAATTTCATTCATAGTATGAAAACTATTAAGTCTACTCATTAGACCTAGGCCCCAACTTAACTTTTCAGTTATTTAAATAAGAGTAGAGCACAATCAGGGAAATTATAAATATTTATGACTAAAATGTCAGTGGAAACATTCTTTTATGGATTAAAATAATTCATTAAAAGTTGCTCCTAAATAAGAAGCTAAAATAATTTCATTAGAACTTCTAATGAGAGAGAGAGAGAGAAAGAGAGAGAGAGAGACTTAAAAACTCCAGTTTAAAGGCTAATAATAAATATATAAGCTGTTAAACAAAACCAGGAATATAGATTACTTTGAAACACCTACTTATATCAATTTTAATGAAGAATTAAAAGATACAAGATGTTAAAGACATATTTTTAAAAACTAGTAGTGGGGATAAGACACATGAATCAAATTTTGTTTATACCCTAGAAATGACAAGAGACTTTGAAAATGTAGTGTGAATTCAGGTTTTCATTCCAGTCTACACATTTCTATGCACGGCCTCCATCTTCGGTGTCACTGCCACCAACAAAACACAGTACACAGCTTCAGACCTAATCAGTATGTTCAACTAGGAAAACATAAATTACGATTATTTCTTTAAAAATAAGATAGAAAGACTGGGATCCTCCATTTCTTTTGTCTCATGGTCCCACAATTCTTGGACTATCATGCCAAAATATGAAGTTTAAAAAGGAACATTATTATTTGTTCTACCTGTACCAACATGTTGGCTACTGTATGCTGGTGTGACGACAGCCAGTAGTGTGCAGAGGCTACAGAGACACAACATGTGTGAGCATAGCTCAGCATCCCTAATAGAAAGATCCAGTTTAACGGGAAGCTGCAACAAGGGCAATACCTTGGAGCCAACATACAACTTCCTTCTCTCGCAGCTTAAAGGATAGTGTTTACCTTAAATTCACACAAAACATTAGGAAACGTGGTAGTTATTCATGATTAAAATAAAACAGCAATGTACATTAATTTAATACAGTGTTAAATATATTCACATGATCACCACTGTCATTCTATGGCCACTAATGAGGCTACATTATCAATATATGTACAGAACATGTGCCACAGTTCTTGTACTTTTGGACGTTTTGCAGACCAGGTAATTTCACGAGACAATAATCTTGTAACAATCCTTCATATTACAAAAGGAATTAAATGTTGTAAGTGATTTCATTCCTCTCGGGGCAGGGTGAACCTCTAGAGAGTCAGTGCAAATTGAAGACTGTTCTACCTTTCTGAACCTTCTTGAGTATTTGAGCTTGCTGACCAGAGGTTCCTGTAAGCTGAGGATAAACATCTTAGGATAGTAACGAATCTCGCAGCACTGTCGGTGGCATTCAGCAGGTGTGTGCCACAAGAACACCAAGTCCTATAGCAGAGCCTTCTGAGAATACGGTTGCTGTGGCTGAGCTGGCTGTTGGCTGCCTCCTAGCTGAGGCAGGGTTGATGATGTTAAACTATAGTTTGGCACCTGGGACATATTGGGTCCTGCATTCTGGTATATCGCCACATCAGCAGGTACAGGGACAGCAGCAGCAGCAGCAGCAGCAGCAGCAGCAGCAACAGCAGCAGCAGGAGGACTATATATTGAAGCCTGGCCGGTATATGAGTTTCCTTGAACAGAACTAACCATTGCACTGTGGAGAGAGGAAAACACTAAATCAGCTAAATAATGTATTACATACCCATTTAGAGATAAACAGGAAAGCTATTAAACATTTACAATCGTTTAATCATATATTAAATATCTATATATCTAAATAGCTAAACATCTATAATGTGTTAAACAGTTATTTTAGGCACTGGGATGTTATAAAGAAAAATAAATGTTTAGCATTATGGAACTTACATTCTGGTAGGAAAAAAGGGATAATAAATCTGTAATAATGTCAACGGTTAATACTGCAGTAGAGAAACACAGAACGTGGTAGACAGCACCAGAAGCATCTGGGGCAAAGGACTGTAGCGTATGCAGGGTTGTAGAGGGAGCTTTCAGATAAGGCATCATTTAGGCAAAGATCTTAAGAAGAAAAGGGGTGTATATCAACTGTAAAGCATGCTATGGGCTAAGAGAAAGAAGTCTCTGACGACAGATAACACCAGTTAAGTTCAAGGAGTAGCAAGGAGGCCAGGAAGCCTGCAGCAGTGGCATAAGAGATAAAGTGGCAGGTAAGAGGACGGGCCATAGAAGATGGAGTTAGAAGTCTTGGGATTATGGCTAAGCCGTAAGTGAAATGGAATAAACATTGGTTGGTTCTGAGCAGAAAGGTAATGAGATACAACTTATACTATAACAGGTTCACATTGGAACAGGGGCAGAATTAAGAGCTGGGAGATACCCAGAGCCACAATGGAGACAGGAGAAAAGGGTCAGACCCTATACATATTTTAAGAAGGTGCCATCGAAATTTGGTAATAGACCAAGTAGTTCAGAATGTCCAGTTTTATAATCTATGAAAAGTGGCAGAGTGGGCAGTTACTAAAAGGAAAAATCTACACATGACTACAGTTGACTGGGACAAGAGCATTGAGAAGAACAAAGAATGGTTTTGCAGATGTCAAGTGAATTGTCCAGTAGACACCTAAGAAAATAATGCACAGGCGGTCAGTTATTCAAGTCTGGAGTCACTGAGGGAGGGCAGGAGGTGAAATAAACAGCCACCAGCATACCTATGATGTTCAGAGTCATGGAGCTGCATGAAGGCCTCTAGGCAATGACTGCAAACAAATGGAGCAGTACAAACAGTGATCCCCAGACTCCTTGATGTCAGGAATATAGAGGTGCACTTTGCAAGGCCAATTGAGGAGAATCACTGAGGTAAGAAGGGAACTAACAGTGGCCTGATCTAGTGAAACATTCAGAAAAGCAGGGAATGAACTGCCAAGCAAGGTGGGAGACTTGTGAAATGACTACAGGACCTGGCAATAAGAAATCAGCAGCGCTCCTGACTCCTGACAAGAACCGCTTTCACGGGCTAGTGAGACGGAAGCATGAGCATCTCATCTCCTGCATTTCCCAAAAGGACAGAAGAAATGAGAGAGATTCCACACCCCCCAACCACATCTACTAACTACCTCTAACTGCTATTTCAATCTATATCCATATGGGCCTAACCTTGCACACAATGACTCTTAGTTCTCTGTGCATTTCCATAGTACCTTTTGAAGAGCAAGTCCTTAAGACGCTCAGCCTTCTCATGCCTGTTCATTCTCTAGTTTGTTCTCAGCTCGGTTTCATTTTCTCTAGGACACCCTCCTTGCCTTCCTGCCTCTCCAATAACTCTTGTTCCTGGGTGTCATCAGATAAATCTATATGTACTCCTGGCACTGTCTCTCTGTGGCTGCCTTTTAACATGTCTGTATTCCCACAAAACTATAGTAGCTTAAGAGCTGAAACTGAGTCTCTTTCACTTTTTAAAAGCCATACCACATAAGGACAAAATTTACATCAGACAGGAACTCAGCAAATATTTGACACTCAAGGGCTCTCTAGAGAAATAGCTCAGCAGTTTAGAGCACTGGCTGCTCTTGAGGAAGACCAGAGTTCAGTTCCCAGCACCCACATGATAGTAAACAACTGTCCTAATTTCAGTTCCAAAGGATTCAATGTCTCCTGACCTCTGGTAGCACTTCACGACATGGGTGCCCTTACATACATGCAGATAATATACTCATACACATAAAATAATATATTTATAAAATGCAAACATTTGGGGCTATAGAGATGGCTCAGCGGTTAAGAGCACTGACTGCTCTTGCAGAGGACCTGGGTTCGATTCCCAGCACCCACATGGCAGCTAAGAGCTACCTAAAACTCCAGTTTCTGGGGATCTGATGCCCTTTTCTGGCTTCTGCACGCATTGCTCAACACGGGTGTGCTTACCTACATGCAGGCACACTCATATACATAAAATTAAAACAGCGGTTAAGAGCACTGACTGCTCTTGCAGAGGACCCGGGTTCAATTCCCAGCACCCACATGGCAGCTACGAACCGTCCTTAACTCCAGTTCCAGGGGAATCCGAAGTCCTCTTCTGACCTCTGTGGCATTGCACGACACGGGTGCACTCACACACATGCAAGCAATACACTCATACACATAAAGTAAAAATAATAAATGAAGTGTTTTTAAAAAAAACAAACATTCATTAGAGTGACTCCACAAATACTAGCTCCTTGAAATGAGTGATAAAAATCAACACACGTGGAAAGATTAATGAACAAAAGCAAAATAAATCAAAAACAAAAAAGAATACTGAGTGTAAGCTAGACACTTCCTGTCTTAAGCATATTTGGTTTCTTTCGAGATTCTGTGTTGTTGTTTCGAGATTCTGTGTTACGGTAACTTATTATACTGTAAAATGCCCAGTACATAAAGGGTCTCAAGATTTCAGTAAGTTTTCCAAGAAAATGTACCCAAGTTGCATCTTTCCAAGAGGAAAAAAAAATATTATAAACTATTAATCTATTATAAACAAAAACACTATGGTATGAGCAGATGGGGAGAGTGAAAGGCTTAGGGTGTGCTAGATAAGACCATTAGAACTGTGATACTAATCAGAGTGTGCGGTGGGATCAGGGAAAGAAGATATCATCTAGATTAATCATTTCACCCCCACTATTGGAATTGTAAGGCATACAGATTGACTGATGTACCTTCTCTTTGCACACATTGGATCTTCTACAGTAATGTTAAATTCCAACATAAGAAAAAGATGAGGAACTATTTGCTTAAAGGCTATACACTCAAACAACAAAAAACAGCAACAGATAGACATATATAAAGTACATGGGAAAATGATAAATTACAAGTTAGTTTCATTAAAGACATTACAAAATACCATGACTAATTCAAACATGGAGGAAAACAACCTGAAGAGTAATTTTAAAATACTGATCTAGTGATGGCCTACACATGGATTCCTGTAAAACCCACTCAACACCAAAAATGTGGTTGTCTGAACAGTGATACCCCTACCTCGAATTTTTCTTATCCAGATTTATGCTTATAAACCACTGGAGGAATCAAAAGAATTTTAGCAGCATTATCCCCAAAGAACCATCAATAATCAAATTACTTTGGGTAGGAAGCCTGTGCCTGCTGATTAGGAAGGGCTGGGTTTGCAGAAGGAGGAACTGCTCCTTGGCTGATGGAAGGAAGCTGCTCTGGAGGAAGACTGTAGCTCTGGAGATGGCTCATCTGTGAGCTTCCTGCAACCAGATAGGCACCAGTTTGCGCAGGTCCTGGATATACCTACAAGAGGTGATAAAGAAACATTCCATTATAAAACTGTAATGCATATTCCAAACTTGCTCTGCAGAGGCTTACAGTTACTAAAACAATAAAAAATTACTCCTTTGGAATTTATTTTTAATGTTATTTCTGTGGATGGTTATTTTATAAAAAGCACTTTTAGTGGACTACTGATGAGTTTTTTTTTTTTAACAGGGTCTTCCTAGTCCCAGCCCACCTGGAAGTCGCTATGTGGACCAGGCTGGCCTGCATCTCACAGAGATCCAGAGATCTGCCCATCTCTACCTCCCTAGGAGTGAGATTAAAGGCACATGCCACCACACCCAGTTTTTTAAAAAAATTTTTGCAAGTGAATGTATGAGTGGTTTGTGTCCATGTGTCTGGCTGGGCACATGTGTGTGGATATGGGTGCACAGCGTAAGTGTGCATGTAGAGGCCAGAGGTTGAGGTCAAGTGTCTTCTAGACTCATTCTGTCTTATACACTGAGGTAGGGTCTCTCTCTTGAGAAAGAGCTCACTATTTGGCTACTCTAACTGGCTAGCTTGCTCTAGGGATCTGTCTCTACCTCCCATGTGCTTGGATTACAGGCAGGCCACTATGTCCATCTGGCATTTATGTGGTGCTGGGTTATCCAAACTCCAGCTGGGCAAGTGCTTTTATCCACTAATCCATCTCCCCAGTCCCAATTTCTATTTTAGACATTAGCTGAACAGATTTTACTTTCATAGAGAAGCATTACAGGAATATACCGAACCTAAAACTTTATGCTACTATAATTTCTGTATTAAATTTACTGTAAACTTTCCATGTTCTTTCAAAAGGAACCCTAACAAACACTTAGGAACTGTGCTTCAGTTCATTGCTTTATAGCCCCAAACTGCATTTACAATTCACATTTTCCAAACTGCAATTTAATGAATGGAGAAACTACCTTCCCAATGCAGGAGTCAGCAAACTTTCTTATGAAGTCCAGAGAGTAAATGTTTTAGGATTTGTGGGCCATATGGCCTCTGTCATTAAGTGCTCAATTCTGTAGATATAGAGCAAGGCTACAGATAAACAAATGGGATGGCTGTGGGGCAGTGAGCCTACCTGGACAAAAGTGGGAAGCAGGCAGTAACTGTTCGCTAATTCCTATATCTAAAAGTAGGGGGTTTTGTTTTTGCTTTTGGAGTTCTTTGTTGTTTTTGGTTTGTTTGACCCGTAGCCCTGGCTGGCCTGGAATTCACAGATACCCCACCTACCTCTGTCACCCCAGTACTGGGATTAAAGGCATATGCTAACATGCCAGGTTTGTTTTATGTTTTTTTTACTTTAAAGAGAGTGAGGTTAGAATCCTGAATGGCCTATTATGACCTCACTATATAGTCTGAGCTGGCCTCAAAATGTAGCAATCCTCCCTCCTTGTCCTCTTCCTACATTACAGACCTGCACTCCCACCACACCCAAAGGTACAGCCCAGGCTTGCCTCAAATTCATGATCCTCCTGCCCTATCCTCTTAAGCAAGTAGCTAGCTATCAACATGAACCACCATGGTTCACTGAAATCTTAAGCACTCAGTCTTAAACTTTTTTTTACTGAAGATCTATTCATATGTTTGAAAAAAGAACTTCTACTGTCTATGTAGTAGGACTGTTTTCAAGTCCTACTAAGATAATTAACACAGTCATTAAGAAACAAAGCAAAAATCATTCTCCATGTTGTTAAACTATACCAGACTCACATCAGAATTAAAAAAAGTCTCCATTCTAAACACAGATAAATAACCCAGTTCTCCCAACTACTGTTTTTTATTCTTTGAAAACTCAGTGTGAAGGTTTTCTTGTTTAACTCAAACTGGTGATATAAACTCTTGAGCACATGGCATCCAACCTCATGAAGAACCAGAAGGCCGGGCTGTTCATCCTTAGGGTGCTGGCCCCTTGTTTCAGGGGAAATAGGCCGTGTGAAAAAAATCTGAAAGTGTTGACTATTCTAAGTGGACCAACAGACCATTTGTCTAATTACATCTAGAACTCACTAAACTATGAAACAAGTGGTGAAAGCAAAGGAAATTCCACATAAAGCAGTTTTTGAAAAGTATTAAAATATTTTGTTGGCTTTTAACAGCTTTTCAATTCACTTTCCCACTTCATTTGTCTTCCTTTTGGAGGTAAGCAGAAGTTCTCTTTATGTTTGAAACAGGTTTCTATCTCTGAGAAATGATGCATTTCAGTCTGTGGACTTTTGTCAAAAGCTACTTTACTAAGACACTACTGACATACAAAGGACTGCAGATATTTAGTGAATTCAACTTGTTGAGTTTGGAGATAAACATATCCTTAGAAACTAACCACAATCTATGACATAAACCTATC